TTTCTCCTGTTAACCTGTCCTATGTTAATTTATTAGACGAGCCAAACAACCTGGAAGGGGAGAGGGACACTTTTTCTGCCCCTCCAGCAGATTCTTACATTTGCTGCTGTGATAGAACATAGAACTGGGTTACACATTTCCTGGCCTCCAAAACCCAGAAAGAAACACAGTTGAGCATATAACATCCGTTATCTGAGAGGAGAATTCAGATAAGTTCCTCATGTGAGGGGGGGTTTCCTGGTATCCAACACAGATAAGAATCCCTGGGTAAAATTTGGTTCAGGCAGTGAGGGCGAGATAGGAACACCCACAGCCTTCCACGGCAAGGGTTCCTCTCAGCCCATAACCCCCAGAAGGCTGGGATACCTCTGGCCTTCCCCACTGCCAGCTTCAGACCGTAACTCGCGCGCACTTACAGAGTCTTACCCTCTTTTGAGGACTCTGCCATCTGACTGTCCTACTCGACCATCACCCTCTACCTGCCTCCCAGATGCTCCCCTCTTTCCATGAGGATATTGGCGCCTGGCTCACAGTGGTCTGATTAAGTCCCGCCTTCCTGAAAACCAGCTTCCATGCCCACGTCAATCAGCTCTCCACACCTCACCTTGTGTTTCTTTGAGCTGACCTGACCACCTCAGCTGATGTTGCCTGCTAAATACTTTCCAAACACACACTCTCACCTCCATGCACTCTGTGCACCCCCACCCCCACCCCCTAACTAAGCCACCCTCTGACCTTATCTCCCTGGGATTCTGGGAAAACTTATCACACTCCTCTTTAACCCCCTTCAATGCTTCCCCACCAGCCAGGGGAGGTGGCTTCCAACATGTTTTTGCATGAAGAGCCTCTTGTAAGATTTCTTTTTAAAGACCGAACAGAGCTCTGCATGATAGAAAGTGTACGTTAAAATTCATCTAATGAGAAGATGTGAGATCAATAATGCCTTTGTGTGAAATTTATGTTTGTCCTACAAGATGGTAATTTGAAAAACTGCCGCACATAGTTGTGTGAACTATTTTTTGCTTGGAAGGTTTGGCCCAAGTGGGGGGCACAGTGGCCTCCTGGGGGCTACAGACTGGAGCTCTTGCACAGTCTCTGAGATGCTCCTGGCGCCCACCTGTCTCTGCAACCTCGACTGCACCCTCTTCCTCCCTCTCTATTTAAGCAACGTGGGACTGCTTACCCTGCCTCCAACACCCGTGCGCATGCACACGGACACGCACGCACAGTCTGCTGGCAACTAAGATAAATTGGTACTTAAATGCATTTGAAAGAATGTTAGATAATATCCTTAATTCCACTCTGAAACAAAGCTTGGTGCGCAGCTCCAAAGGTTATTCATAATGGTCTTTGAGAACAAAGTCGAATGTGGTAACACAAACAATTCAGTGAGGGTGATTTGGTGATTGGTTAAGTCACTATGGCTCAACTAAGTAGACTCTTAGTGATCTGAACTACTAGTTAATATTTAGTTACGCCATAACTAACCCATGACTTAAGAGTTACTTTCTTTGATTTGCATTTATTTCTTTGGGGCTTTTGCTAGGAGCTGGAAAATAAGCAATTCAAGGTTATGCTCTCTAGGGGAAAAGAAAAAAAGGGGAGAAAGGCCTCCAATGCTATTTCAGGCATGCGAACCCAGGAATTTTGGAAGCCATCACACCAAATGGTGAGGTTTCCTTTGTTTGGCTCTCAGCCCAGTGGGGTGGGGTGGGGTGGGGAAGGGGCACAGAAGCCCTGGATCCTAAGTTGGCTTGTTTGCAGCACGGGAAGCAGGCACTCACCGTGGTCACTAATGCCACCTGCCAGTTCTCCAAGTGCCATTCACAGCGGATGACGGGAGAAACGACCGCTATTAACATGATCTCCATGGCCTCAGCAACCTTAAGAAGGAGGGAAAACACCACGTTTAAGTGCTAGTGTATCATCACATCTCCCCACATCTGCCTGTCCATCATTCTTCTGGTACTGACATCTTCCTTCCCGTGTGTGTGTGTGTGTGTGTGTGTGTGTGTGTGTGTGTGTGTGTTGGGGGGGGGGGGGGGTAACAGGGAGGGGGAAGTAAAGGGCTCTTCCTAGCTGGTGGGCTGGGATGAATTGAAGCAACCTATAAAGTACTTGATGAAGACCAGAAGCCTTTTCACAACAACATCAAATGTAAATGTGCAAGAGACATACAGTCTCCATGGACATGGATCTGGAGATGAGGGTTACCCAGAGAGAGGTGGTACCATGGAAAGAGATACAATGGCACTGTCTTTCTAGTACAGATAATAACAGAGATGCAATGTCTTTCTATGAGTGGTTTGGTTGATTTGGGAACATAAAAAAATTTCTGCATTTTCTTTTCACTTGCTAGAGGGCTGTTATGAAAGAAAAGATAGGTTCCCACAATATTTGAAGGTAAAAGATGCAGAGCNGTGACTGCTTCCAGGATAATCAAAGGAAAAGTGTCGGCTGGCGTTTCTAACCCTTTTTCCATGAAAAGGCTCTGATTCTATCTGCTGTCTGCTTTTCTTTTTTTTTTTTTGTCTCTTGCTTCCTTACTCGTCATAAGGAAGACTCAAACGCATTTCTTCCACAGGGAATTTTTTTCAAAACACCATCATATCTGTTCTTGAATGACAAAGGTCATGCTTTTCCTCTGTGCAGGGCACTTCCTAGGATAGACCTGAAGAGGGAAAAGCCAGTGTTTTCTAAACGCCAGTCCTGGGACACATTCGGCACCATAATGAAATCTAATCAGTCCTCAGCAACATGGTAACAATAAGGAAAATGTGATATATTTATTAAATAGGTGAGGATTATTAAATATGAAGGGCTCTTTTTAGTCGGGAATAATTTTCTTTCTGATTATTAGTGCTCGTATGCCCCCCAACCCTGCTTTTTTTTCTGATGGTTGTTGATGGCAAGATTTTCTGCCTCCTCTTCTTCTAATACCTTACTTGTCAAATATTTATATAATACACACACACACACACACACACACACACACACCAAGGGTGCCAAAAATATGTATACAAGTGGACACTTTGGTCAACAATGCTGAAGCAGTAGTTTGCTGTAATCAGATATGTCTGGACGCTGATGGTAACCATGTTGAGCACCTCTTGTCACTGCAGAAGTCAAATGTGACTTGTAGCCATCTTTTGTTGTCGGTATATATTGAGTATTACAATTTTAATATAGTTTTCATTTCTTAAAGTGTGAATACATTTTTTGGCACCCTCTGTGTATGTATCTATATATATTTTAAATGTCAACCATATGTCAGCCACTCAATTTTTAAAAAAAACTATATCAGTTGCTGAACCCCAGAGTTTGGGTTCCCCTGAAATTAACTTTCTACAGTCATGCACTGCTTAACGAAGGGGACACATTGTCAGGCGACTGTGTCATTGTGCAAATGTCATAGAGCGCACGTACCCACTCCTAGATGGCACAGCCTACTACACACCTAGGCTACGCGGTACAGCCTACCGCTCCTAGGCTACAAGCTTGTACAGCCTGTTACCGTACAAAACAACATGAGATTAAATCACACCCAAGGGGATATAATGCAATCAAGAGATGTAAGCACGATGTATGAAGTTGCTGCCAGCATAATACGCATAATGTTGTACAGTTTTTTCATCAACAGGAAGACTACACTCTAAAATAATGATCAATAGTATAGAAAATACATAAACCAGTACTAGTCACTTATCATCATTATCAAATATCGTGCACTGTACATACTTGCATGTGCTCAACTTATATTATATGACAGGCAACACAGGTTTGCTTAAAGCAGCATCACCGCACACACGTGAGTAACGCATCACAACATGTTAGGAGGACTATGATGTCACTAGGCCATTGGAATGTTTCAGATTATAATCTTATGGGACCACTGTCACTGGTCCAAAATGTCGTTATGCGGCACATGACCGTACTGTGGATCCAAAAAGTATCAAACAGCTCCAATAAGGGAAAGGTGAACAAATATTTTTTTTCTGTTTTAATCAGCTTAAGTAAAAGAAAACAATAAACTAACTGCCTAGGGCAAAATACTTTATTGAGATGCTGTGTTGTGTTCATAGACTAAACTGCAACTGGACTAAACTAAATCAGGTGATTAATAAACATGAAGGCCATAGTCGAGTAAGACTAAATTTAAATTTTACAACGTTCTCTCCCATGACTGGCAGATTTTTTCTTTCTTTCTTGTTTTCTTTCCATTCAGTGTAGAGAAATGGGTTTCTTAAGGCTTATTTACTATTAAGCTTGTCTGGAACATAAGTCATGACTTAGAGCTTATGTGAACCCCAAAGCTTGTGAATCCTGTTTGGGAGATTCATAGAGACACGAAGTGCTCGCTCTCTCCTCCCTTCTCCCCTCTCTCCCTTTGGAGTGTTTTCTTCAGGTACTTAATTTTAGTATAAAAATGACCTTTCTGTTTCTGACTTATGCACACATGAAGCTTTGTCTCTTTAGCACTAACTCTCTTCATCACAAAACGTGAGGACCGTAATTCACCCATGGTCCTTAAAGGTTACGCAAGTATCAACTGCTCAGGCCAGGTTGTCCAGAAAGTGGAGCTGTCATTGGGGGATGGGAATGATGGGAGTTGGTGAAGATGGTGCCTCCTTGCTAAATCAGTCTGGGCCCCTCCTGTTAGCAAGGTTGTGATCAGGGAGCCCAGGGAATGCTAGCAAAGTCAGATGGGACTCAGGGCCACAATGAGGGTGACAGAGATGAAAGGACAGGAGGAGCAGAGGACTTGGAGTAGGAAACAGTCGCATCTGAGTGAGTTACATACCTAGAGAAAAGTCTTCTGAGCTGTGACCCACCTAACAAGGAAATCATATTACTGCTGCCGCTGAGGGGCCTTTATAGGTGTCATTAGGCACCACATAAATGCCACCCATGAGACGCCAGTGATAAATATAGAAACTGTACCATGCAGTATAATTTCCTGGGAGC